TTATCTCCTTATCCCATCCTCTCATTGTCTCCTTTGCCTTCCAAGCCTCGTCCACGTTCCTGTCACTTTCAACATCGTGCCCCGTCCTCTCATCGTCTCCTTCCCTTCCTCTCGTGCTCATCACTGTATCCCCCCTTCAATCCTATTCACTTTCTCTCACCTCTCTTAACTAAAGACATTGTCTCTATTAAGCTCTGGATTTTCCTTCCCATCTTGTCTCTCCTGCCATCAATCCCTTCCTTTCGCATTCATCTCCTATCACGTCCTCTCACGTCTCTTTCACCTTCTGGATTTTCACTACGCTCCACTCTCTTTTGCACTTAAACACATACTCCCGGGCTTGAATTCTATGGTACAGTCTGTGGGTCAGTATGTGTGTGTAGGGAAAGCTCATCCGCCCTCTCCTTGCTGAAACCTTCAGCAAGATCTCTGTATTCCTCTGTTATTTCAGGAAATTGATTTCTGCCATCCTCCAATTTACCCAGGGGTTCCATTTCTTTAACCATTCCATCCCTAGGATCATTGGACATTCCATGCCTGGGGTCACTACAAACGTTATGTCTTCCTCATGGTTGCCCAGGGAGAGATGGATTGGTAAAGTGGCTAGGGTGGCTGGCACACCCCCTGCTATGGACCCATCTAACTGGCCAAATGAGATTGGTTGTTCTAGCCTTCTCAATGGAATGTCCAGATTCCCCATTAGCGTTGGGCTAATGAGGCAACGGGTGCAGCCAGAGTCTATTAAGGCTTTCACCTTGACAGCTTCGAGCATGGAGAGAATTAATATAGTCACTGTCTTGAGGATGGGTGCGATGGGACCACTTACCAGGGGTTCACCCTCCGAGCTGTCGTCTGAGGTGTCCACCAGCCTCCGAGCTGTCATCTGAGGCGTCCACCAGCGCTATGGTGTAGGCTGGAGTTCTTTCCCCATGTTAGGCAGAGGTAGGGGATTCCATAGCCTCTATCACTCTCACCAGCTTAAGTGGGGCTTCCCAGATTTGCTGGCCGGTGATCTGTCTGGGTTGCACTGGGGGGCTTTTGAGTGGCATTCTACAGCCTGATGCCCCTCTCTCCCACATTTGAAACAGCCCATTGGCTTCTTGTCCATAGCTGATGGTTTCACTGGTTCGTGCGTCGACTCAGGCGGTGAGTGGCTCCATTGTTTTCCTTGGTGATGCCTCTTCAGTAGGTCGATCTCTACTTCCTCTGCCAGGACGTACCATTCATCAAGTTGGTGTGGATGTCATGCAAGCATCATATAGGTCGTAATTTAGGCCATCTTTAAAATGGCTAAGGAGGATGTCTTCCGGCCAGTTCAGTTTGCTGGCAATGGCCAGAATTCTTGCGTATATTTGGCTACCGGGCATTTGCCTTGCCTCATTGTTTTGATCCTTTTGCGGGCTTTGTGATCAGCCAGGGGGTCCTCAAATCGTCTTCTCATAGAGGACATCAAACGGTTGAAGTTGTTGAGCTCTGGGGCAATGGAGTCGTGCAAATTCACCACCCAATTTGTAGTCGGCCCATCCAGAGCAGATTGCATAATCCGGATATGGGTTTTGTTGCTAGGGATGTGCCTCCCATATTCCTCCATGAAGCTGAGGACTTGGGTTAAGAAAAACCCCAAGCGTGTTGGCTCCCCCTTGAATCTCGCGTCCAGCGGCGGGAGTCTTTGAATGGATCGGTGCCTTCGTTGTCGGTGGTATTGTCTTCCATCCGGATCGCCATTTGTGGGTCGGCGGGGAGTTGGGACTACTGGATCAGCAGACGTCCCCAGGACTGCAGATTCCAATTCCCTCAGTGTCTCTCCAGTTGCGGCTCCAGGAGCTGGTGCGGCCGTGGGGTTCAGAATTCTCCTCTCCTAGGGAGCTGAGGGTTCTCTTCATCAAGTCGATAGCTTTCTCTAGGATCCAGCTTGAGTTATGTGCCCAGCTTCTTTCCTCTTTGCTTGCGTACAGGGATTTTTCTATCTCCTGCTTCCATTCTGGTTGGTTGACCCCCCGTCTCAGGGTCACCTTTCTTGATTTCTTTTTCCACTTGCCTTTCTTTCCAATGCCCATTGACCACCGAGGTTTTTGGTTACGTGTCTCCACCACCTCTTCTCCTGAGGAATCTGACAGATCCCGACATCTGGCAGGTTTTCAGTCAGGGCAACGGCTCCCTCTCTGGGGGGCTTTCTCCCTTCCCTGCTTCATCGTCTGACATGGTGTTTTTTGCAAAGTCCCCCGGCAAGGTTCTCCCTTCCAGGTGGACTAATTTTGCAGATCCTGTCTAATGTTAGAACTCACCTCAATTTACATCTTAAGAAAACAGAACTCTTGGAATGTTTCTTTCAAAGGAATCTTTATTAAGAGAAACTGATTGCTGGCATGCTAGACAGGATCTGAGGGACTCCTCCCCACCATTCAATGTTTTAAAGTGTTCCCAAGCAGCCCCCACCCCACAATTCCTCTGGGCGTTTCAATCCATCCATCCGCTACGTGTGCATGATCACTCATTCTCTCTTTTCCGAGATCCCAGGCATTGCATTTCCCCCCCCCCTTTTCCCTCACTGCCAGCAAAGGGGAGAAATTCAGAGGGAGTAGGATGAAAGGCGATGGCTGCATTGTTATGGTTAGTACTCTCGAAGAGAATCAACAAATGGTTACTTTGTAGTTAATGGAGGAAGTGAGAGTCATAAAGCCCCCATGCTTACCCTCCTCCACTTCCGTAGTATGACAGGATACAGAAGAGAGTAAAAATTGCTTTTATATCAGAGTAAGTAGATAGAAATGAAATATAATTGGATTCTGACAATATCATTACGTTGAAAGAAAGCATGGATTTAAAGCATGAAAGGGCTGCTGACAAATGTCTGAGTGTGCAGATGAATGTTTGTGTGAGTAATCCCCACCCCCAAGACTATGAAAGAGGCTAGTTACTTTGATTCCCTTTCTTACAAAGAAACAGTAAGTTGCAGATTTTATTGTGAAGAAAATGGAAAGGCAATAGTAAGTGTTTACAATGAAATGAAGAAGAGAAAAAAATATTATTTGAAAGGTCCCAAGGCAAAAAGTGTCTTTGAAGATGTGGGAGAGAAATTCATGGCAAAATATGGATGATTTGCTGAGGATAGATGATGAAAAGAAGAGATAGCTATTTTGTTAAAGTAAACTGAGCAGGGAAGGGGGGGTGAAATTTCTGAGCAATCTTTTAAAACATTTTTAGTTTGTTACTTTTTTAACCCAAGAATTTTTGCCTTGGAAAAGTAAGAAATGAGAGAAAATTAAAAGGGGGGAGGCAGTTTCTATTTCATATCTGTCTTTTTAAAGACGAGGAATTGGGTAATATTTCCTGACTGTAAGAATAACTAATCACTGGGATTATAGTCACCTGAAGCTGTTGATGCTTTATTACTGAGGTTTTTGGGAGATGATTAAAAATGGATAGGGTCTGAAATGGATAGGGTTTTCTGCTTTGGAATGGGGTTGGACTGAAAGACTTCTAAGGTCCCATCCATCTCTGATATTCTGTTTTGTGTGTGTGATATTTCAGTGATTTTCCTTTGCATTTTAATTTGGATTTATCTTTAATAATGTGTTTGAGGGCATTCTTGTCCAAGGAACAATTCTATGATGTTTTATTTAACATTGGTAAAATATGAGTCTTTGGGACTCCTTGCTACTGCAAAAGGGATGATTAATTGCTATATAATGTGTATGTTCAATTTGTTTTCCTTTTCCTTGAAGCCAAGGAGGGGAAGGGAAACTTTTATGGAGAACCAGTTTGGTTACAGAATTATAGCCAGAGGTTGCAAGGCTGGAGAACTATGAGTTCAAATCCTGCTTTGGCCATGAGGGCTGGCTGAGTGATTTTGGGCTGGTTTATTTTTGTTCAGCCTAGAAGTGAGGTTTTGGCAAACCACTTTTGTAAATGATATGGAAATTTGAGAACTGTTCTCTGAAAGCAAAAATTTTGTATAATTTTTACTTTGCGGGGCAGGGGCAATCATTTGTCTTCTTAGCTATCCTGTTGCTTCTTTGATATGCTGCCACAAAAATGATTTGAATATTATCTGCCTAGACAAAGACATTCTAGAAATGTTGGCTCAGTGCTGAATGTGTTATTTATAACAAATTTATTGAGTTATATTTTTTTTCATAACATGGCTTCTAATCGGGGTGAAAGGGGGACAAACAGCCCCCCCCGCCAATCCTCAACAAAAATGCTCATGACAGGGGGAAGAGCGTGGGCAGGCGGGCATCTTGCTCAGCTGATGGCTTGTGGGAGAAGGGGTTTTTATTCTCCTCCCATCTGCTGGATGATTACAGCAGGTTTTGGTCTCTTCTGTCCTGCTTTGAGGTTACCCACAAAGCACGTTTATTTGGGGGGGGAATACCCACTCCAGTTGCTAAGCTTGCTTAAACCCTCTACCTCCTCCTCACTGGAGCCCCCCTTTGCCTGCAACCAGCCTTACCTCACTTTGCTCCATGGCAATGACATCCTTCCCTGCCCCCTTCCTCACCTTGCTTCACTCTGCAAGGCAAGCCTCCTGCACACTGCCCCACCCACCAGAGACCCCCCTGGATCTCCCCCAACTCTGCCCAGCCCCCACAGGCATCCCTCCCCAGGAACAACATCGAGGTGGCCATGCTCATCCTGACCACGCCCACCCACTCTGCCATGACTACCATAGCCATGCCCACTCAGTGAGCCACACCCACCCAGTAGAATTGTGAATTAAGAATTGTGATCAAAAATAATGCTCTCCTATAGGAATAATATTATTTACGCTACTGATCCTTCTTTAATGTATACTGAAATCTTCTAATGACTAAACCATTAGGAATACAGCATGTTACGGGGGCATTAAAATGGGATCAAAGTCCTGTTTCTAGGTTTCATGAACTTATAGAAAAATACAGAAGTGAGAAAACAAGCTCAATTTAAAAAAAAAACAACAACAACCCACATGTGAAAATTACATAACTATATAGTACTACAAAGAAAAGACTTCAATTTACCGGCTTTATCTTTATTGCTTAGTTTTTGCTCCGGTTCTTCCCTCTCTAAAGTGCTGCTTGCTGAAGAGAGGCTGGATGCTGAGCAGTTGTCTTTTTCATTCACATCTTCATTTTGCCTCTCTTTTTCACTTAATGCACCTTCTTCTCTCTCTGGCTCTCGACCCACCTCTACCTCTGCATCTTTTACTGCTCTGAATGTTTCTGTTCCCTGCTTGAACTTGGCTTCATCTTCATGCTCTGATTTTGTTTTTCCCTTGGCCTCGGGTTCAGGCTCAGATTGACTGGGACTCACTGGTGAAAATAATAATGGAGAAAGATTTGCTTATCAGCAATTACAGAATAACAATTTGGACTCAGTCATATATTAAGCACGAAGCTGAAAACACCAGCCTGAAGATGACGAATGGGATTTTGTCGAAATGTCGCCAAGACACTTCCAATTTTACGCGGGAGAAAACCCGAACAACCAAAGACCTATATACAAATACCCGCGAAAACCTCAGAAAACAAATATATATATATATACACACACACACACACACACACACACACACACACACACACACATACATATACATATACATGTCCTTAATGGTTATAAAAATACGAATCCTGGGCATATTTGTTCAATGATGCAATCTTCGATCTCCGGGAAGAGTATACTCCAGTTATTTATTGTTAAAACCACATTTAAAACAATAAAAACAGTTATATACAAAAATTAAAACAACTTAACTTTCGCTGGTCCTCTGCCAGCGTCCTCCGAGGGGGGTTAGGGGGTGGGAAGTTCTTTTTATCCCCTTGCTGATCCAATTGCCTACTCATGACAGGAATGGACAACAAAGGGTGTATGAATCGGCAGGCTGGGAGAGGAGGGGGGTTGGAGGAAGGAGTCGTAATAGGAACTGGCAATGGTATGCAAAAACGGGAGGCAGATCAGCAGCCCAGGAACGTGCTACTGATAACAGCACAGGGAGGGGGAGACAGCACAAGGATGACAAAGCAAGAAAATACCAGGTTAGAGTGCAAAAAAGAGAGGGCAGAACAGTTGAGGCAGTCACGAGCAATCAGGAAGAGTGGCCCTGTCACGAGGGCAATGAGTAGGCAATTGGATCAGCAAGGGGATAAAAAGAACTTCCCACCCCCTAAGCCCCACTCTGAGGACGCTGGCAGAGGACCAGCGAAAGCTAAGTTGTTTTAATTTTTGTATATAACTGTTTTTATTGTTTTAAATGTGGTTTTAACAATAAATAACTGGAGTATACTCTTCCCGGAGATCGAAGATTGCATCATATATATATATATATATATATATATATATATATATATATATATATATATATATGTATGTATGTATGTATGTATGTATGTATGTATGTATGTATGTATGGCTACTACATACCTAATTTTTAAAATGTACATTTTATTAGTTTTTAACAATATCAGGTAAGTATATTAACATAAATCCAAGATACACATAGAGAAAAAAAGAAAAAGAAAAAACAGAGAAAACACAAAAGAGATCTACTGCAATGAGAATAAAGAGATAGGTACTGTACATATGAAATTCATATACATACACATACCAAAAAAACACAAAGAGAGAGAGAGAGAGCAAATGAGTGATAGCATTTATTTATTGTTTTTGTTGTTAGTTGCGAAGTTGTGTCCGACCCACAGTGACCACATGGACGATGTTCCTCCAGGCCTTCCTGTCTTCTACCATCTTCTGGAGTCCATTTAAGCTCACACTTACTACTTCAGTGACTCCATCCAGCCACCTCATTCTCTGTCGTCCCCTTCTTCTATTGCCATCAATCTTTCCTAGCATTAGGCTCTTCTTCAGTGAGTTCTTCCTTCTCATTAGGTGGCCAAAGTACTTGAGTTTCAACTTCAGGATCTGGCCTTATAAAGAGCAGTTGGGGCTGATCTCCTCTAGGACTGACCAATTTGATTGCCTTGCAGTCCAGGGGACTCGCAGGAGTCTTCTCCAGCACTATAGTTCAAAGGCCTCAATTCTTTTGCGCTCAGCCTTTCTTATAGTCCAACTTTCACTACCATACATTGCAACTGGGAAAACCATGGCCTTGACTATACGTACTTTTTGGGGCAGGGTGATGTCTCTGCTTTTTAGTATGCTGTCTAGATTTGCCATAGCTTTCCTCCCCAGGAGCAAGTGTCTTTTAATTTCTTGGCTGCAGTCCCCATCTGTGGTGATCTTCGAGCCTAGGAAGATAATATCTGTCACTACCTCCATTTCTTCCCCATCTATTTGCCAAGAATTGGGAGGGCCGGATACCGTGATCTTGGTTTTCTTAATGTTGAGTTTCAAGCCAACTTTTGAACTCTCTTTCTTTACCCGCATGAAGAGGATCTTTATTTCCTCTTCACTTTCTGCCATTAGAGTGGTATCATCTGCATATCTTACGTTGTTGATATTTCTCCCGGCAATCTTAATTCCAGTTTTTGATTCATCTAGCCCTACTTTTCTCATGATGTGCTCTGCATATAATTAAATAGGCAGGGTGACAGAATATAGCCTTGCCAGAATCCTTTCCCAATTTTGAACCAATCAGAGGTTCCATGTCCAGTTCTCAATGTTGCTTCTTGACCCACATATAGGTTTCACAAGAGACAAATAAGATGGTCTGGTACTCCCATCTCTTTAAGAACTTGCCACAATTTGTTGTGATCCACACAATCAAAGGCTTTAGCATAGTCAATGAAGCAGAAGTAGATGTTTTTCTGGAACTCCCTAGCTTTCTCCATGATCCAGCGTACATTGGCAATTTGATCTCTAGATCCTCTGCCTCTTCAAAATACTGCCTGTACTTCAGGTGGTTCTTAATCCACATACTGCTGGAGTCTAGCTTGTAGGATTTTAAGCATATCTTTACTTGCATGTGAAATAAGTGCAATGGTGAGATAGGTTGAACATTCTTTGGCATTGCCTTTGTTTGGAATTGGAATGTAAACTGACTTTTTCCAATCCTGTGGCCACTGTTGAGTTTTCCAAATTTGCTGGCAAATTGAGTGTAGCACTTTTACTGCATCATCATTTAAGATTTTGAATAGCTCAGCTGGAATACAGTCACCTCCACTAGCTTTGTTGTTGCTCAGATTTCCTAAGGCCCATTTCACTTCACATTCTAGGATGTCTGGCTTGAGGTCAGTGACCACCCTATCGTGGTTATCAGGGATGTTAAGCTCATTCTTGTATAGTTCTTCTGTGTAATTTTGCCACCTCTTCTTAATCTCTTCTGCCTGTTAGGTCTCTGCCATTTTGGTCCTTTATCATGCCCATCTTTGCATGAAACGTTCCCTTCATATCTCCAATTTTCTTGAAGAGAACTCTGGTTCTCCTTATTGTTTTGTTTTCTTCTATTTCTTTGCACTGTTCATTTAAGAGGGCATTCTTATCTCTTCTAGCTATTTGCTGGAATTCTGCATTCAATTGGGTGTATCTTTCTCCCTTACCTTTCACTTCCCTTCTTTCCTCAGCTATTTGTAAAGCTTCCTCCGAAAGTAATTTTGCTTTCTTGCATTTCTTTTTCTTGGTTTTAGTTGCTACCTCTTGTACAATGTTGTGAACCTCTGTCCATAATTCTCCAGGCACATTATCTATCAGATCTAATTCCTTACATCTATTTGTCAACTCTACTGTATATTCATCAGGAATATGATTTAGTTCATACCTGAGTGGCCTAGTAGTTTTCCCTACTATCTTCAATTTAAGCCTAAATTTTGCAACGAGAAGCTCATGATCTGAGCCACAGTCAGCTCCTGGTCTTGTTTTTACTGACTGTATAGAGCTTCTCCATCTCTGGCTGCAGAGCACATAGTCAATCTGATTTCTTTGTTGATCATCTGGTGATGTCCATGTGTAGAGCCATCTCTTTGGTTGTTGGAAAAGAGTGTTTGCTACGATCATCATATTCTCTTGACAAAATTCTGTCAGCTGTGCTCTGCTTCATTTTGTATTCCAAGGCCAAATTTGCCTGTTATTCCAGTTATCTTTTGGCTTCCTACTTTAGCATTCCAATCCCCCATGATGATAAGGACATCATTTTTTGGTGTTGATTCTCTAAGATGCTGTAGGGCAGGGCTTTTCAACCTTTTTACCGATTGTACCACTTTTAGGATATGGCAATATTCAAGTAGCACCTAGCAAGGTGTCAAAAACTTGATGACCAAAAAAAACCCTGTTCAAAGTTGCAATTGCACTGAAATGACTTATGACCATTTTTCACCATTACAGCATACCCAGAGTTATGTGATTTATATTTGGATGCTTGGCAACTGATTTATATTTATAATGGTCACAGAGTTCCAGGGTCATGTGATCCCCTTCTGCAACCTTTTGAAAAGCAAAGTCAATGGCAGAGCTGCTGGTGGCCAAGTACTAAGGCACGACTTCCTTTCCTCCCTCCCTTCCCTGCCTCCCTTTTTCTCATTCCCATCTCCTTCTGAAGGAAGAATTTGAACCCCCCCCCAATATTTTCCCTCTTCCATATATTGATCAAACAAGGAAAGGCCTTCAGAGACAGAAAAGACAAGCTGCTGAGTGAAGTAGCTTAAAAAGGCACATTCCCCTTTAAGAATTAGCTACTGGCTAGAAAGAAAAGTAAGGGTCGGAGCCGGCACTTAAGGAAGAAAAAAAATGTAAGTAAGGCAGCCTTCCCAAATGGCTCCATTCATAAGTAAAGGAATGCTACAAACACTCTTTAAGAACACAAAGCTCACATTGCACAAATCCCAGAACTTCAAAGTCACAAAAGCACATAAGAATCCTTCCACTCTCTATCTCCGTCCCTCGTACCTCACTTCCATTGCTACCTTTTTTCATTCCTCTTGGAGGGTGACCCCTCCCCACTGCATTTCTTCCCTGTTTGCTGCTGCCAGCCAGGTGGCTGCCATAGCAGTTGTACATCGGCTCATGGCCAGCCTGCTTGATCTCCTCTCCCCCCCACTCCTCCTCCTCCTGTGCAGCTGACTCCACCTCCTCCCAAGGCTGCTTTTTCTCTCTCTCCCTCTCCTGCCCAAACTGCCTCCTTTTATAGCAGTGGTTCTCAACCTTTTTTTTTCTGGCGACCCTGGTCATAAGGACGCGCCCCACATGCGCAGCGCGGCGCACATGCGCGGCGGTGCCCCCATGCGCAGCGCGCATGCACGGCTCCCCATGCGCGCTGCGGGTGCGCGGCGACGTCCCCATGCGCGGTGCCGCCAGCTGAGAAAAAAATGGCGGATCGCATTGTTTGGCGACCCCCGTGAAATGGTCGTTCGACCCCAAA